GCAGCAACTGGATTTGACTGTAGTGTCTCTGACGGAGAGGTCCTACTACGGTGGCAGGATATTCGACACTAGCTACGCACCTAGGTCCAATTCAGTCGCTGTCTGGAGGAGAATTCTAGGGACCGGCTGCTCTGATAAGAAGTTTCCCGTGGTATCTCCAATCAATACCAGGCAATTGCCGGAGCAGTTCCCTAACAAACGGGCCACGGAGCGTCTCCTTCCTAAACATTCCATGCTCTTTCCTTCCTAATGGTTCTCAATTTCTCTCCCCTTACACACACGCGCGCTTGAATTGTTGGTCAAAATCGAAACTGTTTCATTGATTTTGTACTTTTCAGGAGAGTCTGGGTCCCTGTAAAAACCATAGATACATCTCACACGGCTTGAGAACGGATATTTTTTCTTTCAATGTAAGCGCGCATTGAAAATTAGTAATGTAGACGTTTTTGAATTTTTTGCGATTTCATGAATATCTTACGAAACCAGAGACATATCTCAAGAAGTGGGAGGCTGCGGTTTTGTTTCAATTTTTGAGAGAAATTGATTATTTAGTAATATGCTAGATGCTTTTAAAAATTTACCGAATTGTTGGGCATCTAAGAAATCCATAGACACCTCTCGCATGCCCAGTGGATGCATATTTTTTAAATTTCTGCTCGCATTGGAATTAAGTTATAGACTGTGTTAAGTGTGTATGTTTTGGAATAAAACTTGGGGTACGTCGAAAACGTTGCGCTTTAGTACTGCGAATAGCCTGTTTCATTTTGACACGTTACTTGTCTCTCCCCTCACTGAACCTGACGGAGGACACTTCGTGTTGATACGAAACTTTGATACGTTATATTAAACATGTCGGAAACAAGTTGTGAAAATTTTAATTATGAAATCCTAATTAAAAAAGAGGAGAAATATTATTTAGGTCTCTTCTTTTCGTTTTATATGAATCAGAAACCACTGAGAAGTAGTCCAAAATATAAACTGCTCGACAGAGACAATGAGAATCACCGGTGAAAGATTCTATTCTGCGTTCTTATTACTCGTTATAACAAAGAAAATTTTCGTTTTTTTCATGGAATTCTGTGGATTTCTAAGAGTGGATGTTATAATTTTTTTCGTAATATTTTTAAACAGTGTTCATGACATTACTTGACTTGAGTATTCTACTTGACAAAGTCTTTTGATCCGTATTAATAATCACAAAAGAAGCAAAACCATTTTTTAAAAAATCATGAATTTTTCTGCACCAAAACGTTTCACCAGATTCTTTGAACTTTTCAACTTCACATTGTAAAATTTCGATGCCCTTCAGAGGTTACGATTTCCATGTATCTCCCTTGAGAGAATCCCGCCCTAAACCCTTCGCGTTGCCGCTGACGTACATCTCCCACGCACGTGCTTTTGACGTCACTCGAAACTTCCCTGCGTGCTTTTGCATCGCCTCCGCCTCTGCGGGGCCCCTTTTCAAGGCAGATCCTGCGAACGACGCGGTCACGGTGCGCCGAAAACAAAATTTCAATGTGATACTCGTTGGAGGGTTTTCGACGTGTTACCATTCAGTTCGTATCGAATTTGCCAATGATTGTAAAACTGCACGGCTTGTCATTATTATTATTATCATTATTATTATTATAATTATTATTATTGTTATTACTATTACCAATATTATCTTTATATATAAAACACCAATGGTTTAGGTTTAAAAATAAGTCTAAGTATTATATTCAACCGAATTTAGAGATGTTTGATTTATATGAAAGGTAGGGATCCGCAGATGGTTTAACTCGTGAAATTATTAATAGGTTTTTTAATTTAACACTATATTTTTATAATATCTTAAAATTAATGGACTGAACGCTTGTCTATTGTCGTTTATTTATTATGTGGGTTGGTTGCCTGCATGATGCGTATGGTAGTGTTTTCAAATGCAAAGAAATGGCCTCATTTTGCCCTGAGGAATGTCGCAAAATTGCGGGGAAAGGTGGCTGCCGGACGTGACGTCTCCCCGTCCCGGATAGTCAAGAAGCTACTGACTCCTACGCTCTCGTGTTATTATTGTTATTGTTAATATTGTTCCCATTAACATTATTAATTTTATATGGTTTGTTTCAGTCCAATTACTTGAATAGGTTAATATTCAAGAAAAAGTAAGTCGTTGTTTGATTGTCTTACAGAGAACAAATTCTGTTTTGTGGAAAGCAGGTCATTGTAACTTTTATTACGAATTTATTCGAGTATTTAACATACCACAAAACTTATAAAATCTAGGGTGCGTTAATGTAATATTTTGCATGTATCGTAGATATAATAAAACTTGCACAAGTTCCCTTAGTTGTGGAACATAGCTTTATTCTCTCCAGAAAAAGTAGGAAAAAATTATTATTCCTGTGAGTGGCATGACGCCGAATAATTTCCGGAAAACATGTGACCCATGAGAATTGGAAACTGGAACCGCAATTGCATAGAGCAGTGAGCGGTGCTGGCCTATGCAACTCGCAGGCGCAAATTGAAATTTATATTATAATTTGTGGCAGTTGTATTAATAATATGATTCATATGAGGTGAGTAGTTGTTTGCAAACTAATACGTGCTATTCGCAAACTATTTTTAGGGTTTTGCGTACATTAAAAAACATCGTTTACAAGCGGGGTATATATAAACGTTGTAGCATATTGTACTACAACAAGGACTGTCTCCATTGTAAATCGAAATTTTTATTACTCTATTACAATCTGCCCTATCGTCATGTGAAACTCGCTAAATTTGGGTTCACCTTGGTTATCACTAATTATATATTGTGCCGCATTGATTGCTTCAGAATTCGAAGCCCCCTTCGGTATTTCTGCAAACTACGATCTCTTTTCGTCGGGATGACGTCAGTTAGTCTTGATAACATGCGTTTTGAATAATTCATAAGAACATATTTTACCTGTTCCTGGATTAATCCAGTTTAAATTTTAATGAAAAACTGATTTATGGTGTTTCTTATTTTGTATATCTACTGATTTTACTTGCATATTGAGTCACGTGGCGTTGTAGCTTAAAATTAAA